CAATATTTTTTTAAATACTTATTCAACATTATTTAAATACTCACCAACATTTTTATATTCCTTGTTCAACATTTTATAAATACTCGTTCAACAATTTTCAAATGATTTTGGAAGTGTGCTTTTCATTTTATATATATATACATATATATATATATATATAATTTTAAAGTATAAGAAAAATAAAAATAAAAATATAAAACTGAGAATCTGCCCTCCAGCGAACCTGGGCCTGCCAATGTGCTACTGCCTCTCGACGCGAGCGCTCCCTCACGTGTCGCTGAACGCGAGGAATAGAAACACCCTCCCGTTAAGCTATTCCTTTATCATGGATCAACTAATTAATGAGCGCTCTTTCGGGAGCCTCGCAACGATCAACGCCACTTGGCACGCTCACAGCCACTCGCCACGTGTCGAGCTATGGGCGCTCCCTCCGGATTTTTTTACGCACGCATTTTCGTCTTTTTAAACGGTTTTTTCCGTGTTTTTTTGACGTTTTGGTTTTCGATCGGTCTTCCCTAGCTTTTGGACCAAAAAAAATCGAAAATAATAATTTTTTTGCGCAAAAAAATGCAATTTTTTCGCGAGAATCATGATTTAATTTTCGCGAGAGGCACGGCTGTGCCTCTTGGAAACGGAAAAAAACGTGTTTTCTGTTTTTTTTCTTTCTCGAGAGGCACAGTTTTGCTTCCGTGAAAGGCACGGTTGTGCTTTCGCGAGAGGCATGGGCGTGCCTCTTTCGGAAAGGAAAAAAACGTGTTTTTTTTCTTTCGCGAGAGGCATGGTTTTGCTTCCGTGAGAGGCATGATTGTGCTTTCGAGAGGCACGAGCGTGCCTCTTTCGGAAAGGGGAAAAAACGTGTTTTCTGTTTTTTTCTCGTGAGAGGCACGGTTTTCCTTCCGTCAGAGGCACGGTTGTGCTTTCACGAGAGGCACGGGCGTGCCTCTTTCGAAAAAGGAAAAAAAATGCATTTTCTATTTTTTTTCTTTAGCGAGAGGCACGGTTTTGCTTCCGCGAGAGGCACAGTTGTGATTTCGTCAGAGGCACAGGCGTGCCTCTTTCGGAAAGGAAAAAAATCAGTGTTCCCGGTTCGGTTTTTTCGTCGGGTTTTTTCATCCAGTTTTTTCGTGAAAAAAAGTTCGTCAAAACCTATCAACATGGGATGTAGTTTTGAAGATCTCGACGCGAGGAATCCAATGACGAAAGCGGTTCAAGATTTGGACGCACGGATTAAGAGATAAAACGTTTTGAATAAATGGATCTACGTAAAAAGGGAAAACTCCCAGGTTGCGAAAGCGGTTCGAGATCTCGACATGCAGCGCGCCACTTATCGCAACCTGAGGGAGCTGGAGTGATCTCCGCAAGGAGTAATCCTTAATTAGTGATTTCGCCCTTACCAAGCTGTTCAAGACCCGTTTTGAGCCAATGTTGTTTCCATTAGTGCCCATTTTCTTTCTGGGCCAATGATTTGCAGGAATAGTTATGGGTAGGAAGTCACACTTTTATTTGAAATGAACTACTACTAAATCGAAGTCAATTAATATGGATCATAGAGAGGAGCACTTTCAACTAGAAATAACTGCTACTTTTACCAAAAATGAATGAGCACATTCCACCGCGTACACGTCCGTCATCGTTCGTCATGCCCGCTGCGAGAGCAAGTACAATAAGGTGATATAGGCGGGCTATAAGATTTTAAATATTATAGTTTTTCTAAGGTGGAAGACAGAGAAGAGAAGCGTGCTACTAATTAACAGCCGGTTGCAACACGAACTCCTATCGACTTTGTGAGAGAGTAAGATGTGCCATGAATCAACAAAGTAGTACACATTTATATTCAACTATTGTACTTGCCGTTTATAAGTTTGGCTATAGATGACATGTCAACATCATGTACCCAACTGTTGGCTGTATTATTAAACATGCTTTGAGATAGACCTCCTTTTGTCTCGCTGCGGGAGAGACAAAGTGCTGCCCACGACAAATAGTGATGTGTAAAAAAGAACCCCAAGTCTCCTTTCACAGTTGTTTTTATTTTCACCTAAACTACATCTAAAAGAACCAGAAGAAATTTTTTGTGCAGCTTGTCACAAGAACTTTATTTTTTCAAACTCAGTCCCTAGGGAACCTCAATTTTATTAAAAAAAGGTTGTTCGGTTAATTAAGAAAACCGGGCTAAAACCATCACAACGGGCCACACAGGGCAAAACTATCCAACCTGGCCACCCACACGGAGATACACAAACACCGTAGAGAAGAAACACAAGAACTTTATGGTACATGACTCAGCGTAATGTTGACCCATCATATTTTTCCAGATTTTGTCGAATCTTCTGAACTTGATTTTTGAATTTTCCCGAAGAAGAAAAAAAGGCGATCATGTGATCCTGAGAGCCAAGTGTCATCGCCCGTACAAAATGCTAATAAGGGTGGGAGCGTATGCCTTACTTGATCGCTTTGGCTATGTAGAAATGATGTTGTTTTTATTGACAAAATTGTTTCTCCTTTGCAGGTTATTTTCCGTTATACGCACTCGCTTCGTACGTGGTGTACGCTACAACGAGCGGAGTACCAACCGCTGTTCAAGCCGGTGTGTACGTTGTTGGAGCAGGTGGCTACAGAGGCACTAGTAGAAAAGAGGGCTTTGGTTCAGGCCGGGTTAGCCCATTAGTCCCGGTTCAGTCCAGAACCGGGACTAATGGGGGCATTAGTCCCGGTTCGTGAGCCCAGGGGCCACGTGGGCCATTTGTCCCGGTTCGTCTAGACCTTTTAGTCCCGGTTGGTGCCACGAACCGGGACTAAAGGGTGCGATGCCCATTAGTATCGGTTCGTGGCACCAACCGGTACTAAAGGTTAGACCTTT